TTAGGACTAGGCACTGGTAGGCACCTAAGGCACCAACTACCAAGCATCCCGGATGCTTCGTTCGTTAGCCATGTTTTACAGTCAAATATGGTCAGTGAGCTCGTTGTGTGAAAATGCGTGCCACGGATATGAGAACCGATCTGTCGTGTAAACGGCTGCGACGACGACGGTAAGGACGGGCCGGTGCGAGAGCGACTGAGGGCGACCTGGGCGACGACCGGACGGACGCGAGTGGCATGCGCTCGCACCTCCGGCGGAACATCGCTTGCGCGTCCGACGACGGTGGTCGTCCTCGGAAGCGGTGCTGCTGATCTCAACGGTCCCCGAGGCCTCTCCTTTACTCTCGACTCCGGTCTCGACTCCGAGCGCGCCGCGTCGGAGCCTGTTTGTCTGACGGACCTGCTGACAGAGCTCAATGGAGCCGCGTCCTTTCACCATCCTGCTGGCTTTGTTGTTGACAACGCTCGCACGAGGTGAGTCCCTTCAACTCGCTCGCTTACACTCCCGTATCCCGCGTATTTCTTTTCAGCGGCATGTCGCGATTCTCTATCTTCTCTTCATCGTTCTCTTGTCGTATTAATTTAGTCTGATCCTTCAACAATGTAATACATCATTAATAGACACGGTTGTGTCTCGCGTCAAGTTCATTCTATAACACTATTTAGAGCCCTATTTTTGAAAAGAAACGTATACGAAAAACTAGAAAAATACTGTAGTATACGTTACGTATGTCATAATATTTCCTTGATAAACCGTGTGACCTTAAGAATAGAAAATAAATAAAAAAAAGATTCATTTTTCTTCTCGTCGCGAGGGATTCTCGAGTCATTCCTGGAGACGAATTCGATTTAAACGCGATGACATACCTCGCTCGTTGTTTATCTGTTGTTTTTCATTTGAAATTTCAGTCGGGACTCTTCGGGGAAATTTTCGCGCGAATGCATTTGTATAGAGAAAATTCCGCATCGTTGGACCGGGAAAGCGATCGACCTGTCAACGGGCGCGCGACGCGATGGTGATGCTGATGTGATGGATTTGCGAGGGCATTTTCTCGGCCGCAAGTGCAACAATAAATAGAATAGGATCGATAGCCATTGAAAATAAACGTGACTATCTTCGTTTCGGCTATATGTACATTGTACGTACATACGTACGTACGTACATCTTGCACTTGGTCGGGGCGGAGTAGGCGTACGCAGAGAGAAAGAGAAAAGCGAAACAAAGTGCGCGAAGAGCATGCAATTGATACGAAATACAGAAGGTTCAAAGCTTCAATTTTTATACCTTTCATTCCCGGCTGCGGAAGAACAGACTCGTGTTCGTTTCGCAATTGTAACTTTTAACTTCGATTTATTCGTGTTTTTTTCCTTTGTATATTAATTTCATTTGTTTTAAACGCAATTGAAAGGAAACGAGCTTAATGATCGCAAGATTGAAGGCGGATGTGCGGAAAAGCGAAACGAGATACGTATTGTGTCTCGTCCGATTCGTTTTTTCTCATCACTGAATCGATATCTCTCAATCATATTTTTCCATACAATTGGTTATATATATTTTGATTGCGTTTTAATGCCTCTTTTAAAATTCTAGATTTGTAATTATTGACAAATAGCAAATTCGATTGAACACACTCAGTATGCACTATTAAAATCGTGATACATAATTTAACGTAAAGATGCGTGTTTAAAATAAATATATACAGATAAACCTCAATGCATTTTATTGTGCTGTTAAGTAAAGTTATGTATCTTATAATTCGAAATAATTGCATTTCTCTTTTAGACTCAAATTAAATCAGTATAAAGCGGCTTTAATATGCACTTGTGCGTCCAACCAAATTCGTTAAAAGTCAATCACTTTTATAACTTTAATAAAACAATTTTTTTTTAATCATATGATCAATGATTTAATCATATTATGATTAATGATATCAATAATATTGAAATCCATTTAGTCTAAAGAGATTTAAAATATCAATTAAGAAAAGTCAATATTTTTCCCAAGAAAGAGGTAAAGATAAAGAAATATAATTATGCAGAAACAGACTTTACATCAACATTTCAATAAAAAGTAAAACTGTCTTATTTGTTTTTTAAATAGAATTTTTCCCTCAAAAACCACATGCCCTCTCTTAAAACATTGTATACATGTCTTTTTATAACTAGTTTTGTTGATTACTGAAAAACAATCATTTTTTAGTGGAGCACTTCTGAACATTTACCGCGAAATCAAATGAGATCAGAAATATAACATTTCGACGAAATTGAGAAAAACATCGAGGAGAACACACAAGAATATAAAATCTTTCGTTTGTTTTTGTAACAGTTTCCTAAGAATTCTCTTATCAAATTCCGAATCGATTTGCTGCATTTTGTCTTTAAATAAGTCTTTACTCGCGTATTCGAATCGCATATAAAGCGATAACTTGGACTCATCGCAGGGCCTACTATTCAGACATTCTCGAAAAAATGATATATTTCTAGCACCTATAGTACCGTTAGTTTTTAAATAATTAAAAACGGTTTAAAAATTAATTGTTGATTTCTTCGCTTGCTCGGTTTCTATTTCGGAGGACGAGAACTTTTTCTTTCATTTAAATTTCATTTTCATTTAAATCTTATATTTTAAAATTGTTATATATGATTTTTAAACCGTTTTTATAGCAAATTTATTCCTGTGGCTTCAATATAGTAGATGTCTAAGTGAATATTATACATCCCTAAAATTTTATTAAAATCGGTGACCAGAGCTGGATTTTCCTTGTAAGCGCTAACTGATTAATTTTCTCTGGTGAACGCGGCAAATGATTTTGATCATTTCATCCTTGTTATTTATCAAATGTTGAACAGAACAAGTGTTGCACGCGAGCGTTATGAGCAAGAAAGTGAAGAAAGAATGAAAATAAAGAGAGAAAATACTACCACTCTTGAACAGGATTTTCATTTTTTTTTTTTCAAAACTGGCTTAATTTTCAGTCTCTTCGAGTAAGATTTCACTCCACGAGATGTGGAGAGTGACTAGGCTGTTGATTACTGAAGGAACCACTGGTATGATCCAGCCTCTCGGCGTGTACTATTTCTGGCCGTACAAGCAATTTATACGGCATATGTCCCTTGAAATACGCGATGGAATTTGGAAGCGAAACAGTTACTTCAAATTGTAAGCGTTTGTTCATTTTGAACTCCACGCGCCCATATTTCGTGGCATGATGCCTTCTACAGGACTACCTGGATGAACGGCCGGGATCATTCAAAACCCCGACGCAATTTTGTTTTTTATTTGACAAGTTTTTCATCTGCTCACATCCTAACTGTGAGCAGTCTACCGATTTTAAATGTGCATACTGCAATGTTATTGTTTTAAGCACTGCTTGCTTGATAACTTACGCATTAATTGTACTCATTTGAATTAATAAAAAAAAACATTACAATTAATTGAAAAATGTATTAATTTCTATTCTCTAGTATATACGTCATATTTCATTGTTTATTGTTATTTTTTGTAATTGTAACTCTTATTAAATAAACGTTTGATCCTATGCGTCAATGACTTATTTATTAAGGTCTAGGCTTATGAAGTAGTAGCTATACAGTAGTATTGTTGACGCTTCACCTTTTAAGGTGCTCCAATTTGCATCTAGTTATAAATTTTGTATCTTGCACGCCAATAAGGCTTATTATTCTTATTATTAATTGTGAACACAAATCCAGATGCATAAAAACTCGCTTTGAACTAGTGATCATTCTCATGCGATTCGACCGCATGTACATATTTGAGAGTGCAGTGATGCCCTGACGATAGGCTCTGTAGACCTCACGGGCAGTCTTTCCTAATCAAAAAATCTGATGATACACGTTATATTAACAAATGGACTTCACGTGTCACTCATTGAAGGGTACTCTATTTGATGATCCATCATCTAACTTTTTTGTCCATTATGTGACGGTTCCTTGTGAGAAGTATAGGTATTTCTTCGGGGTAGTTATGATTCTCATTTGGAAGCGCAAATCGCTCTATCTGATAAATTAAATTTTAATTCACGAAAATGGTAGAGATTTTTTCATTGTAAGGTTTTATTATATGGCGAAAAATGTCATTTCCTTCGTCATTAATTTTTTTTTCTCTGTTCGCAGTCAATGCGGGAGGCTTGGACTTTACCATCGAGCCGCGGGATGTGGTGGTGGAACAGGGAGGTTCTGCGAGCCTGGACTGCGATGCAAAGAGTGTCCTCGGGACGCCGAGTATACAATGGCGCACGGATGACGGACAGCCAATCACTTTTATCGGGGACAGTTATCGGTAATACGTGATGCGCCTCTTTTTACGAAAGATTCCCTGTTGGCATGACGTTTTTGCGCACTATTCGAATTCTGACGAAACAATTCCCATTTCTTTTTGTAGATCACAGCTAGCAAATGGGTCCTTGTACATAAATAGCGTATACGCTGGTAGTGCAGAATTAATTGGAAGTTATCAGTGCTTAGCATCCATAGACAATGTTGGAGCGATCGTCTCTCGGACAGCCACAATCAAACTAGCAAGTTAGTATTCAAGTTTTTCAGATTCTAGCGTACAGCACGTGCTTGAAGAGTCCCCGAAAAAGATAATGCTTGATGCCGTTTTCTTTTCTATCAAAATAAAATAATTTTCAGAAGTGGGAAGTAACTCGAATCCTTACTTAAATTCGTTACGTAACGAGTAAAGGAGCTACTTCTTTCAAGTAGTAACGGGTAGTGATAACGATTCAGTACACGGATAGGGATTGAAATAGGTAGAAATAAATTCGTATAGTCATTGCCGAATCCAAATCCATTTTACAATGTATTTTAAAATGATTAAAATTGCGCAACAGGAGAGAGAAAGAATAATTTTCTTTATTCCGAAAAATGATAACACTTATGCGATAAATATGACATTAAACTTTCTTTAAAGGTCTCCCCGGCTTCGAAAGAGAACCTCAAGACACCATGGTTTATGCGGGACAGATTGCATATTTGAGTTGTGCGCTACCGGCTTCCTCGAGTTTGTTAAAAATACAATGGTTAAAAAACGAACATCCTTTAGTACTTGATGAAAGTCGAATGACAATCCTGCCTTCAGGTACATGGACATCTACGATTAATTAAGATTTTCTAGCATATTAATATTATTGTTATTGATATAGTTTATTTTATTGATTCTCACAGGCGCGTTGGAAATCGACAATGTTCAGTATCACGATGTGGGATCATACAGATGTAACGCTAGTGGCTATGGTCAATACAGACTGAGTAATAAAGCACAATTAGGATTATTATCTAGTGATATTGGTAAGCTTAATAGCTAAATAACAAACGAATTAAACTCAACACAATCAAATTCACGAGTATCTTTTGATCGTACAGATGAGGGTTCTAGTGCTCCAGTATTCGTTGCACAACCCTTGCAACAAATAGTTACCGAGGGATCCGATGTGACCTTGGAATGCGCTGCCAACGGCTATCCGAAACCGTCGATTTTTTGGCTTAAAGACGGCGTCGCTCTCGATTCGACGTCGCAAGACTCTAGGTACATAGAATAGAATATTTTATTCACTTCAACAAATACAGTTAAAAAGGAGACTTGATTTACAAGAAATGTCTTAGCCGCATATATCCTTTCACATTATCCACGCACTCCTACTTATACGTCTAATTACATAACATTTTATCTAAAACTCCTTAACTCCTTTCCTTTTCTAACTTAACTATCTGTCTACAGTTTACCACCTCCCTAGAGTCCTATATTATCAGAGAAGCGCAAATGGGGCGCTTGCTGATTGGCTGATAGCGGCCACCAATATACATCCCCTCTCACATTCCTCTAACCAGTAGAGAGAGAGTAACTTACTCTCTAGAGTGCGTTCAACCTAATTCGTTATTAGCATGCCAACGAATCTGAATATTGTATTTACGAAAAATATATCTTTTCCAAGATATCACAAAGTCGCAGCCTCTAGTCTCGTGATTACGAATGTCAAAGAATCGGATCACGGTTCGTATCAATGTCGCGCGGAAAATATGGTCGACTCTCTGGACGCAGTTGCCGAATTAATCGTTCAAGGTATATTTGCAACGCACGAGATTTTAATTATTACTCTGCAGTGATATCAAAGTGCAACGCTTCAATTGAATTTAAATCCTCAGTTCCACCGAAGTTTATAAAGAAGCCGGAGGATAAAATAGCGAGTGAAAGTCAAGATCTAGAATTCGAATGCGAAATCTATGGAAAACCAGAACCAAAAATTACTTGGCTAAAGAATGGCGAGCGTATTACATTAAGTGCATATTGGCAAATTGTCAATGGGTGTGTGTTTCGAAGATTTTATGTCGTTAAAGAAATTCTATGAAATCATGTGTTCATGTTTAATAAGTTATTTTTAAATTTGCAATATTTTTATTTCTAGATACAATCTGAGAATTAATGGACTATTACCCATAGATGCTGGAATTTTTCAGTGCATGGGAGTGAATCCTGCTGGTAGTGTTCAAGCTTCAGCACGTCTCACAATCAACCAGCCCAGTGAGTCTCACGAGATAAAGTATAGATAAAACTTTTTCGAATGCATACATTCTCTTTTGTTAATATTTTTTATTTAAATATTTGATTATATATTTATTTATTGTTTAATAAATACCAAAGTTTTTTTATTTTGTTTCTTTGCATTTATCTTATATATATTTTTTTAATCTTATTTTTATTTTTAAGTTTATTTGTGTTTGGAATTTTAATTGTATCTTTATTTCTTTCCCGTGTTCCTCGTTAATTAACTGTTCTGCATGCTAACATATGCAGAGAGAACGAATCTCTATAGAACAACTCCCAAGACAGTTCCTAAGAAAAAATTATTATTACACCGACAATTGTATAATAAAACGTGGCAACATCCCAGTACTCTCCTAGGACATACGTTTTCGTCGAATATGCCGAGTCCTCCGCTTTCGATAAGTCCTTCTGATGATCCTGCGGATCTTCTTCCGAACTCGTTTAAGTATCCTAATCCCCTTTACGATCCAAACTCCCGTTTTGTAGATGATACAGATACCTTAGAAGCATTCGATGGTGGTGGCATACCTTCTCCACCGAGGAACCTAAGTCTTGTCATCGTTACCGCGAGATTTGTTACGCTACGCTGGCAAGAGCCAGAAAATGCAAACAGCGACGCTCTTAATTATTTCGTATATTATAAACAGGAAGGGGCCATGAGGTAATTATTCTACGAAGAAACGAAGACATACGGGGTGTTCTACAATATTTGGGACAATGCTGGTGTGCAAATAAGGCGAACTAAATTGAGTCGAAAAGTCCTCCATTTTTCAATTTTCTCAGTTAACGAGATATTGGACGATATTCACAGTCTGTTCTTATTTCAAAACTGTTTTAAGTAATATCTTAATACGGCCCTCTGATTCGTGACTTCTTAAGACTGTATGTAAGACGATCTTGAAAATAATATCCGACTATGAATACCGGCCATTAAGTTATAAAGTTCATTGAACAAGCGCGCATCCACTCAGCCATACATGTTCATTGGTCATGTTTGCCAGTTGTTTTACTATACTTATTATTATTAGCGGTAATATTATGCATGATGACAAAAGAAATCTCCGCACTAGTTATATCTTGCCGCACATTTACATTGACGGAAAGCCGAGCGGATAGTGTGAATACGCGCTATAAAATTATAAAATAATACAGAACTTTTCGATTCAGTTTAGTCCGCTCTATCTGCATACGAACAATGTCCCAAATATTCTGAGACACCCGTATATGAGTATAGAATGACCGTCATATATTCGCATAGGGAGAGAGTTGCCAACTCGCTGCAGAAACTAGAAGCCATGATACGCGGTTTGCAACCGGGTATGACGTATCAATTCCATGTAGTTGCGCAAAATTCTCGGGGAACCAGTGCTCCTAGTGAAGTATTACAAGTTACAACGCTAATAGAGGCCAATGTTCCTGGATTTCCGATGAACCTGGAAGGTCAATCAACAAGCAGCATGAGTATTACCTTATCGTGGGAGGAGCCCCAAGTTATTAACGGTCGAATATCTAAATATATAATTACGTTTATGGAGGTATATAAACTTTCTCTGCAAGTAATTAATGTCAAAGTGACAATATCAAATGTTACTGCTTATTCACTGTATGATTTTGTCACATTTAGGGCGATGGTGAGGAAATAACGCGTGAAACTACCAGTACAACATATGAATTGGTAGATCTTGTGCCTTATACGGAGTACAGTATTAGAGTTCAAGCAGTCAACGAAAATGGCCCGGGCGCATTTAGTAAGGATATCGTTATACGGACTTACAGCGCACAACCGACGCAACCACCGCATAACGTTACTTTAGAAGCAGCTAGTTCAACGGTATCTGAATACATTATAAACAATTTAAATTAATACAGTGCAGGTTATTCAAGGAGTTTCACTAAATGCGTTTTCTAGAGTATTATCATAAGATGGGAACCTCCACTCGAGGGACAGAATGGGATCATCACAGGTTATAGAATACGCTACCGTAGATATCCGCACGATTCTCGATCTGGGGATCGGCGATCCCCGATCACGATAACAACTGAAGGAAATCAACGTTTGTACGTGCTCACTGGGCTCGAGAAGCACGTTGTGTATCAAGTCCGCATATGTGCCTTCAACGTCAATGGAACTGGGCCTTGGACAGAATGGACGAAAATAGAGACATACGAGAACGATTTGGATGAGACGAAGGTACCTAATGCACCCAGTAATCTGAGAGGTAGGAATCCACATGTGCAAAATAAAATAATGTTTTAATTATTGATTTATTATCAATTTTGCATTATTATTATTACAGCAAATGCTATGGCGGATTCTATATTAGTATCATGGCATCCCCCGAAAGATCAAAGTATCAAAGTGAGAAAGTATAAATTAGGCTGGGGCAAAGGTTACCCCGATGTCGAGATACAAGTTCTTGATGGAAAACAACGTTCTTATGCTATTAAGCCTATAGGTAAAATGAATGCGACAAATCTTTACCTCTGAAATATTTTTAATTTAATTTAATTTTTATTAATTTCCCGTTTTCTTTGGCCATTATATTAGAACCAACAATGGAATATGTAATATCTCTAAGAGCAACGAATAATGTTGGTGATGGTCAACCAGCATACGCAAACGTAAGGACTCCCGAACGTTTTGTATCTGAATCTGCAGTGCCTTTAATACCACCCGTTGGCCTTAAAGCTATCGTGCTGTCGGCTTCTACCGTTGTGCTGTATTTACCAGACTCATTTCTCGAAAAATACACATTTTCTTGAAAAATGTTTTAGACAAAAATTGTAAGGTTTTGAGTGACGTATTTTTAGTAACAATAAGACTAAAAATTTTGCACTAAAAATGAAAATAAGGGGAATAACCTTCAATGGCCTTGACCTTGCCAAATGTTATGTAGGTCATGATCCTGAACAACAAAGAGGTTTTAGCCATCGATCAGACACCTTAGATAATGCTAACGCCGGTTGTATTATAACTTTCAAGCCTCATAATTGGAAAAGTACTTAATAAAAAAATTTTATTATAGTATTTTGAAGAGCTCTTAGGTAGGCTACGAAAATACGTAATAAAAAATGGAGATTTTCATTTTAAAAAATCGATGTGACTTTGATCTGATCTTGGCGACGCCACCCAAGGTCAAACTCGTACCACCAGTAAATAAATCTTTTGAAACCCTACAACTTTTATCTGAAACATTTTCCTAAAATGCTCAATTTTCGAGATATTTTGCTACCTTTTTTGTGCACTTTATGTATAAACCCTCAATGTACAATATTATAAAATCTCGTAAAGTGACGCATATAAAATAAAAATTAAGCAGGAAATATCTCTAGTATAAACATTTATTTTTAGTATATCACCGATAGTCGATACTACGTGGTGCGTTATACATTCTACCATCACAGCAGCAACCCACGATACAGATTTTATAATGCTACCGATCTCAACTGTATGATTCACGACTTAAAGCCCAATACGCAGTATGAGTTTACAGTTAGATTGGTCAAGGTAAGAAACACGTGGATTATACAGCTTAAGGAAACATCGAAAAAGACATGTTTTATAGCTTAATTTTTACAGGGTAAACGAAACTCACCGTGGAGTATGGTCGTTCTAAATCAAACTCAAGAGGCTGCACCTAGTACGGCACCTAGGGATCTTATTATTCAAACCATCGAAGATCGTCCAACCTCTGTTCTATTGCGATGGCAACCTCCTAAACAACCCAACGGACAAATCACAGGTTGGTGATCTAAATTTGAAAAATGAAATATGTTTACTAAACCCAATTGATTTTTAGGATATCTCATAATTTATTCCACTGATAATACGAAATGGGATCGTGATTGGCTGGTCGAAGGTGTCATCGGAGACAAATTGGATGCCGTTGTGAAGGGTTTGCATCCTAATACGGCATATTATTTTAAGATCCAAGCTCGCAACTCCAAAGGATATGGACCATTCTCTACGACGGTTTCATTTAAAACGCCACCAAGTAAATAATTTGATTTTTATTTGTCGATGTTGATTAATGTTAAATTTGATTATGTTTATACAATGTAATATATACATATATGTATACGTATATACACAGAATAGTATCTGTATTCATTTAATTATATACGAATGCGTAGCATTATCTGCATGTATGTATTTTTTCCGTTTTATTTTGCACTCTATTGTCCGTTCACGTGTCAGTTAATTATTATGTTTATTTTTTATTTCTGTGGTAGACAATGGCATGGATGATGAATTGCATGGTCGAGGTAAGATATCATCCCAATCATTCCAATCTTTCTCTTCTTCTATCACTTTAATTGTGCACGTCTTTAAGCATGTTTTATTGTAAAACTTATAATTAAATCTTTTTTAATATTAAATAAATAACCTAATTATTTTTGAAGAATAAAATATAGAATGACTTTCAAGTTTTAATTTAGTAAAATATTTGATTTTTCCAGATGGACGAAGTTTCTCTAATCTATTGATTTACATCATAGTCGGTCTTTCGATCGTCTTTGTCACTGCTATATCAGTAGTGATTGTAGTGTGCTGCAAATGTAATCCAAGTTCACCAGATCGCAAGAAAGGGTATGTTAATACTTCTAATCATAGGACATAATACATCAGTACATCAATACATGTTTTTATGACTTTCAGATACATGAAAGATTCATCAAGTCAGAAGACGAACATCAAGCCACCGGATTTGTGGATTCATCACGATCAAATGGAGCTGAAGGCACTTGAGAAATCTTCGTTAAATGGCGAAGCCTCCACCAGTGGAGTCACCAGTAATACATTACCTAGATCGGGCAATCAGGAATACAATCAAGATAATATACATGGGAATTCCAGTTCACTGGATAAACGTACTTACGTGCCAAGTTATATGGGTAAGTCGTATGAACTTACGAGGAATACGTTGCTGCACTATAACGAATCAAACATCACAGAAATTATTCCAATTACATCACAAAGCTAACAGCAGTCCCATTTAATTGCACAAGCAAGAATAATTCCTTTGTTATAACACGGTTTTGATAATTTTACTTTTAAATTAAATATTTCTATTTTATGCACAATCATTTAAGAAAAAAAAGATATTTTGGAAAGGGAGACTTTATACATTTGATTTATAGTTTTTCTGATTTTGTTATTTGGTTGCTTCTTATTTATTTTCTGTCAGGTAACACTGATGAGAAGTGCTCGACCCTGAGCAGGCAGCACAGTCGTGGAAGCCACAAATCTAAATTAATTACACTCCCCATTGACAGTGCACCTTTGCATCAGCGTAAGTAGTAGGGTTATCACTCGTACTAGTGCACAATATACCTGTATAATGTGTATCTTTTTGTATATTGGGAGCGATCAAACCATTTAAATATTATTTTACAACAAAGTAAACGTGCAAACAATGAAATGCATAATCTCTATCAGTGGTTATTGTAGTTTCATTGTAGACATCAAAATTTCTGATTTGTTACAGCCATAGCCACGGCGACACCGATTGTGAATAGCAGCATGTCGCAGCCGACCATCCACACCTCGTGCAGCGATACATCGTCGGTGAGACAGAATTATCCGCGAACCGTCGCGCAATACAGCTTAAATCGCGCGCACGTTACGTTGGAACCAACCCCTGAATCCAGCCCGGATTCTTGCATACCTAGTTCATACGAACCATTGCAGAATCAGGTAAGAAAAAAGTTCAAATATGCGTGCATATAAATCGTTTATTTGTTACGCTTAGTGAAAATTGTATTTTACTCTCTTATTTTTTTAGTTGTCATATGGTACGAGTGGACAGTCGTACAGTGGAAACACTCAATACGCCTCCGGTCATTATGGCAACAACACTCAACCGGTAAGCAGCGCCGTTGGGGAGAGCAACACAAGCAAACGGTTGCAAGGGCATCCCCTGAAAAGTTTCAGCGTGCCAGCTCCTCCGCCGCAGAGTGCTCCTTCAACACCAGCGCAGCAGAAGCACGGTGGTTAGTACCATATATCGATTATACAATTAGATTTAAAAAATCTGTGCACACTACGTATCGTAGTTATAACAAGATAAATCATTTTAAAATAATCTTTTTTTTTTTTACAATTTTAACTTCAAATTTCTCAAATTGTTGATGTAAGAAAATTTGGGAAGTTGAAAACTTACAAAGAAAAGTTTTTTCCTAAATATACTGTTAATTTATTAAAACGCTAGCGATTACTATTTTCTGTAATTATAGTGTCACATGTGACAGTAAGGCCAACAATGTCTGGGAGTCCGTATAAGAAATCACAAGGTTCGTCGTCACAATTAACGAAGAATCGTTTAGCCTCTGTGTCAAATCCGACACACACTTCGGAGGAAGTTGAACGGTTAAAGGTAAAAATTACAGATCTATTATATACATCCGTATATATTATGTATATATTCGTATATATTATGTATGATATAATATGTATTCACTGTTTACTCCCGTAAACATAATATCATTTTGTTTGGGGATCATTTCGCGCGACTGCGTCTTAATTATGGTATTTATTATGATTACAGCCTTCGTATAGCACCGAAGAATTAAATCAGGAAATGGCCAACTTAGAAGGTCTTATGAAAGATCTAAATGCCATAACAGCATCGGAATTTGAATGCTAAAGTAGGTTCCTAAACCTTGTGCCATCCTAACATTCTCAATGTTAGTACCTGAAAGGTAAAGTAATTGTCACATTTTTGCCACTTATGCTGAATTCTTTCCCATTAAATTTGTACGATTACTATCAGGATTACATGTAGAAAAACGAATGTTACACAATTAATTAGCGTCGATGAACGGCGCAATTAATACGTGATTCAAATCGTTTGAGTTAATGATGTAATTGGGAAATGGCAAACAATCAAGTTAGATCATTCAGTCACGTTTCCTTTCTCTGGTACTAGCGTTGCTCATCTTAAGCGTAAAACTGAATATTACTTGCCAATGTGTAATCCAACAGCATCGCGTTCTTACGGTGTATTTTTGATAATGCGAGCAGGCAAGTATTATGCCGCGATTGGCTGTTTGAAGAGGCTCGACGAATGCTTTCGTGTTATAGACGTTTACAGTGTAATCGCGTGTAAATATGCTGGATGCATATTCTGATCGGGACATAAATTATTTCGATTACAACGTGTTTTTCTACGGTGTGTGAAAGCTAATATACGATGATCAAGTAATCAAATCGCATGAGCAAAAAACGTCGCGATGTTTTTTTTTCGTCATTTATATGAATATAATATTCTTTTACGAATGTTGATCCAAGCGAACTTGTTTCAAGAGAGAGGAAGAAAATCGCTTTATCCTGGCGAAAAGCTCATGCGTCGCTTGTCGTTATTATTCTATACTCATATAATTAATCTTCGACTCAAAAGAATCCTGAAGGGAAGACCGAACTTCGACGGAATCGCTGTTTTATCAATTCAATAGGACTTACACACAAGGTTTTACTAAACTATACAGGTTGCCTCATCGGCGAGTTTATGAACAGGGGATGTATCAGCAAAATGGGATGTCACCGTGAATCCCAGTTTGTCAACTGAATGACAAAGGTATCGCCCAGTTAACGCTAAATATTCGTAGAAAGTTTGATTTGCAATGTGCCGAATATTTTAGAATAGTAACAGAATTGGTGTAGAATTTACGAATGTCGATAAAATGTTCAAAATATTGTATGAATATTCCTTGTATATATCACTTGCGAGCGAGCAGTACACATTTTCGTCGACAGGGGCATTTACTCGTAAAAAAGAATCACGTAGAAGTGAGAATACAAGGAATGCATTCAAAGAGACGCTATTTATGTCATTTTATCTCCATTACTCATTAGAATTACAAGAATCGCAGCATTTCGCCTATGAAATGAGCCCCAAAATTGGACTTCAAAGTCCAAAGTGAAAGCATACGAAATTTATTTTTCACAGTACAATTTTGTTTAAAAAATGACTCAGTTCAGAAATGACGGAATTCTGTGAAAAATTAAAATTTTGCTGAATATACATATACGGAACGTCGAAATACGTAACGATATATAATATAAATTGAATTTTTAACTCATATTTGAATGTTGCCTTTACATTCCATAAATATTTCGGGATATTCCGGAATACTATTAGAATGTATTTTTGAGATTTTAGGAACCTTTTATATGTATTTGAGAAATATTAAACATTAGCTGGGCTGTAACTTTTTTTGTCGGTTTCTCTCCTTGCAAAGAACATGTCACGAATGAATGAGAATGAGGTAATCTGTATAGTTTAAAGACTCTCAATAGGATATAAGGTTCCTGAGTATTCGCTCAGGATATTCAATATGGTCGCGGTGACTACTCGAGAGCCTTAACATATCCGATTTACGTGTCATTCTTCGTATTAGGCCCATTTGAACCAACGTTACTTTGACTCTAGGCGAAGCTGAAATCTTTTTCTCTCGGCAATTACCTTAAATTTAGTGACAAAAATTTTCAAACTGGTTTTACAAATAACAAAATTTTTAAATTCAACGTAACAAAATTAAAATACGCACAATTAAAAAGTCCAATTGTGGCAATTTCGCAAAAGTTACACCTTGCTTCATGTTACAGTTTTAGTTCTTATGAGTAGCATAAATTTAACGGATCTCAAATTACTTGAACGAACAATACTTTGTAGAACTAATTCATGACATTGAAAGCCTACATAAAAATTTATTAGCTTCAACGTAATTCACATGTTCACGTATGCTTAGTTTACATTCAAATGCTATTGGAAATGATATTTGAGAGAGTTAAAAGTCTATTATACATATTTTCATTTCACGTACCTTACGACCATTTACTAATTGACGGTCCATTTTACAGGTGTTTTAAAGTAATTCCATTATTTTATTTTATCCACATTTTCTTTATTTATAAATAGCACGTAAGAAATTTCAATACGTCATTACTCGCTTATGACGTCACAATCTAATATAGTCGACGATTTTATATATATAGTCAGAAGTCTTATTGATGTCGCATTTACGCTTGAAAGAAAGAATGGGCAACGCGTAGACCGTTCGGTCAAGTAATTTACGGTCCAAGATGATATAGGCGGAAAGTCGAAATATTTATTCTATTTTTGTATATATTAGAATCGGTTCGCGACGAGTTTTAACGTACGTCTTACATATTTGGGGGCTACTGGCAAAGCTTATTCGCATTTCCACATGATCAATTTGTTTAGAAACGGGCGAGTTTTTGCATCCATCAAGATCGTTTCGCGTAAAACTAATAAATACAACAAATGCGCTTGATGTAAGCATGATATTTCGTTTCGTGAGATTTCTGTAACTTCCCTGATAGCAAAATATTGGCAGTTTGCAGGCAAATGGCAGCAAACTCAGATTCTCACTACAAAACTAAACATCTTGTGTCCGCATTTGGCTAAGGATCTATCAACAAAGTCTGCTAACATTTTATGCCAGCAAATTGGTAGCAGGAACTGAATAGAATCTGCTGCATAACCTGATGACAGATTAAGAGCAGAAATTGAGCAGAAATTGCTAATATAATCTGATAGTAAATTCGGAAAAAATTGAGCAAGATCTATCATTTTCATATGCGGTTCCACCACGAGATGGACTTGCTTCTTGTAAAAAGAAAACGCCCAAAAGTCCTGTAAATAAGCGAAAATAGAATATCAGCAGACTTTGCTGACATTGTTAGATAGTACAAATCCTGTATACAATTTATTACCTTTCTGCAATAAAAAATTGACATTTTGAGCATGTTCTGCTCAAAATCTGTCTCCGCAGATTTTGCTATCTGGATTGTTATGGACGACATTCGTAAGATGTTTGCATTTACTCTATTCGCGGATGTACTTTAACATCCTAGGCAGCTTGTATATAGAAATTTTCGTTTTGCGTGAGTATTCTTTGTTAAAGCGGTCATTTAGTTTAATTATATTTCGATCTCATTGGGAAATATTATTTCAGAAGTTAATCGGTTATAAAGGCGAATATTTATGGGTATTATTTGATAGATTGTTTAACATGACAAAGTCACAACGATCGATTTTTAAAGAATCGATTACAGAAAGCACGCGAGATTTGTATGCAGAAATTTTTTACGGTTCCGCTTGATTGAACGATACTATCTTTCGGGCCGATCTATCGCCGTGCTTCAGGAATAAATATTTCATCATAAGCATTAAAAGGTTGCGTTATTCAAAGGATATAATCCGCTTAAATAAAGTAAGCTTCATTTTCTTCTCCGTGTCGCCTTTACGAGTTGAAGTATTATTGATAAAAAAAAGTTGTATACAAATATTTTTAGTGGGATATACATATATATATACTTCGTATATAGATTTGTATTTTACTTACTCGGACACACGATCGATAACGGCTTTTGGAAGAAATTTTATAAACGCAATGCTCAATACTCATCCGGCGTTGGAAATCGTCGAGATATATACATATTTCTATCCAAATACATTTTATATAAACTATTTACTGCCAATTCATTAATGCATATCTATCAAAGTATGTACAAAAGGGGACACAAATGCTTTACTCGAAGTTGCATGCGTTTCAAGGAAAGCATAAGAAAAAATGAGAAGAAGGCATGGTAAAGTATTTGTGTCCCCATATGTATATAGTATATGTATGTATGTTTCCTTCCAATTGCTAAAGACTCTATCCGAAACACTAGCGAAACGCACCGGGGCGCGTTCAAAGTCCAATTCGGGTCAATGAAATACAACGATCGTCACGTGGCATATTATTTACGAAATAATAGTATGCTTATAGAATTTCGAATTGTATTCAACTACTTTTGGGATACTTTTATATTTTCATAGCGTTCAAGGTTTGTACAAAGATCTTGTATATTAAGGGCGTTGTATGAGACGTGAGAGTTAAGAAGGATTCGAATGGTAACAAGTTGAACTCGTCTTCTTTTAATTTGAAACAAAATTAAATGCAAATTAAATTGTAAAGCCGTAAAAATGCTACACGGCGTTCAGATAATTCGGAAGAACAATTCTTGGAGCTATGATTAATTATATCTGCTCTTTTTTTTTATCACTCTAATAACTCGCGAAATACGAATTCTGATGTAATATTTTCGATTTTCGAGTTTTACGATGATCAGATTATTTTTTTTATAATTCTGTTCTCCATATTGGATCTACCATTTTGAATTTTTGAAGAATAGAACATTACCGCAACAGGTCAAAAAGTTTAAAAAATCGAGTAATTTGCAAGATAAAAGGAGATATCTAATATGGTAGTCGACCGTGTTTAAAGAATTATTTAAATTTAGGAAACACAGTAGTGTGTCGGCAGTAAGACAATTAAACAGCTTAATCTCTATAAGCGCTGCCAAATTTTGTGATGGATTCTTCGTGAATTTGAAGCTTTTCAAGTGTGACAGTGAAAATGATATTTTATATTATAATTCCGAGTATTGCGTATTGCTTGCCGATGCGATAGTACGTTAAGATAATTCTGCCCGATGTGCGATTTGTACGGGAGAAACGAATGAAAGTTCTTCCGCAGTCGACGGCAACATTGCGAGAATCATTAGCAAAACGTTTGATGATGTTTCTTACATGGGTAAGAAAGTTTTCAAAAAATTAAATAAAAATGTTATGTGTACACTTATCAAGTAGTAATTTTTTAAGATATAAAGGTTCGATATAGCCACTTATAAATTACATTTAGACGGCTATCAGTCCATGAATTGCGCGTGCGATAGTTAATAAACGCGCACTTCAGCATTTAAGTATATTCCGTCTAAGTGACGACCTTATAAGTATGGACTGGCAATAATTTATAGTTTTGCAGAAAAACAGTCCGGAGAAGGTTAGAAAGAGAAACTTTTCAGGTATTTCTCTTTCTCAAAGTATCCGGGAATGTACATTGCGGATGTCAGTTAAACATACGACGCGTTAACATTATATTAGAATTAAAAATGATATATTGTAGCAAAGCACAAAATCAGATTCTTTTTGAAAATGTAAACTGCAGATAATTAAAAAATATGCAAAATAAAACTGTAAAATCTTATAGGAAAAAATAATCTCAGTGAAACATATCTAGTACTTAGTATACGTCAAACGTGCGCGAAACATACTTTTAGAAAGAACGGATTTATTTGTATTGTCAGCCCTTACAAGGTTTATGGTCTAAACGTAGCTATATTTAAATCTTTATTATTTCAGAAACTAATGTTTAAAATAAAAATTTACAAATAACCATTTTACTTAATTCTTTGAAAACTTTCTGTCATAATTTGATTTCGCAAATTTCGGGACACCATGTATATACGCGCACACACACATACCAACTATATATATGTATATATGTATGTATAGGGTGTCCCAATCTTTTTGATACAACACTTGTATGCAAGTAGAGCAGACTAAACTGAAACGAGAGAACCAATAATAAGATTTTATTCGGACAAGAATTAAATACTAAGTATAAGCATATTCAGGCCTATGACGGTCAAGGCTAGATCTTTTTTTGCCTAAATAATTCCCAGTGAATTATCTATATCCTATATATGTACATGCATATATATCATATTTTTGTAGTTATTCAAACTGCGGTGGTCTAATGGCTTAAGACGCTCGTACGGAATACAAGAGATCCGGGTTCAAGTCCCGGCCGAGGTAATATTTTTCGCAATAAATTTATTTAAGGTTTTCAGCACATTGTCAATTTAATTTAACTTGTGATATTATTGCAGTATTTTAATTGCGTTAGATAAAGTCCGGAAAAATTTCGCCATAAGCCTGAATATGCTTATACTTAGTGTGAAACAAGAGAGGTTCTATATTATTTTATAATTTTCGCATTAATTAATGAGACATTAATTTCTAAAGATCGTTGAATGAGCGCATATCCGCTCAGCCATATTGCTACAAACGCGCATATTAGTCATCGTCGCTAGTCGAGCGCGGAATTGTTTTCTACAAGCGATAATAGTTACGCACGACGGTGAAAAAACAACTCGTACTGGGCAATCAGATCTCCGTGCGTTTGCATTAGACGGTACTTAGTATTGGGCTGAGTAGACAGTACGGATACATGCTCTTTTGGAGATTTTTAGAAATTAATATCTCGATAACACTATTGCAAAAATTGCAAAATGATACATCATTGTTCAATATAGTCGATTCAATATTTACTTGCATATACTGTGTCAAAAAGTTTGAAACATCACATAAGTGTGTGTTTGTGAGTGTGTGTGTATATGTGTATATATGCATTTATGTGTACATATATATATATTCATATATACATATATATCTATATATATATTCATATATGAAAGTTGTATTTGTATTGCGCTGTTGATAGAAAAAAGGCATGAGATACTCTTTAATTAAAAGACAGGCCTACTAATCGAAAGGCCTGCGAAAATGTCTTACTACGAAAGTATAAATCAGCGTATAGCAACATAGATAACGTATATATTTATCTATATAAAATTGATATTATTTATTGATTTTTCTTTTTTTACGTGTGTGCGCCGTGATTTTTCCGGGTACAGATGAAAATCCGAAGGTTGAAGATTGATTTGCATTCGACTATCGCACGTCGCGTCGCGTAAAATGATATCTTCTATTCTCATTAATGATCCACTTAACATTAACATCAATTATATTACATGTATGTTATAGTTTCACATTCAATAATGTAAATGTAATACAACGCATGTCACTACATTATATTTACATTGTTGAGTACGAAATTATATAAATGTAATGTAAATGATGCTTGATATTGATCGAGGAATCGACCATCTACATCTGCATTTATGAATTAGTTAGGTAAATCAATTATCCAGACTAACATTCACATTAAATTTGATGGTATATACTTCGCGATGATCGAAGGAACGACTGGTTTGATGTACATAAATAAATATAAAAAGAACAACACCGCCATTTTGTATAAGAGATGATCAAGTATTTATATATTACACACACATATACGCGCATGCGTATATAGCGTTATATATATGTATAAAGCTATTTTATATTTATATTATATAATAATTAAATATAATTCTTATATTTGTACGATATAAGAGAGCCCGCCCCGAGACGAAACATTCATAACAAGTGTGTGATAATATTTGTAAAACTGGTATTCAATAAACAATTTTATGTTCTTTATAAAATCTAGCCCTGCATCTTGCGTGTACATTGCGAATGGAAATGGGAGCATACTTATACATATATCCCAAAATCAACCCGATACTGTTAAATTAATACAATTGAATTTCTTCCTTTCTAATCATTCTTCCATTCTGTTACGTCCAGAAGACTCCATGATACTTTTCTTCCACGAAAATGTTATCGTCGTCAGAATTTGTTAAATAAACCATGGAACCAACACAGAAAACTCGTGAGAAAAAAGATAATGCAAGTGAAATGAATGGCAATTCCAGTCCTCTTTGAACAGAAGTTTGAAATCGTACGAAAGGTCACGAAGTCTTAATAGATCTAATAACTCTTAGAAAGTCGAATATTGCCTCTAATATGAAATCTGCGAATCAAATACAGAAAAGAAGAGAATTCAGAACTCGGAAAGAAGTAAACTAGAACTAAGAGTACATTCCAAAACGTCTTCTCCGAGGAAGATATTTTATTCAAAATATAAAGGGTGTCTCCGACCTACGAGATCGGCTCTCATGAACAGGTAGAGCGATATGAACTAGTAAGTCGAACTGTTAATTCTATTTTGGAGAAATTACGTATCGACGGTATCGATAAGAAGTATGTTAACTGTAATTTTAGACATAGTATTTTGCATTAATTTTTCATTTGTGTGCGTGAATCTGTTTAAATAGTTTATATGTAAGTGATATATTTTAAGAGAATAAAGTTCACGAAATTACATCTATTAATATAAATTTAGGTTCTGCATGTTCTTTATTTTTCTACAGTAACTTTGAAAATTATTGTGCAATTAAATTTCTTACAATTTTGCATTCGTAGTATCTTCCATAAATTTGTTGATCTCAGTTCCATCTTAATTATTGCCGTTTCAAATTTCGTTATTCGTGGAACGTATCCATCAAGTTAAACTCAGTTGAACTTTGCTACGTTTAATACTTTTAATTTCTACATCTTATGATTGGTATTTCTTGTGCTACTTCGTATTTGCTATTTAGTAATAAGTATAGAAAATTAAAATATATTATTAATAAATTTTATGTTATGTTTTTGCTAATAATCTGCCTACAAAATTTGTCTTACAAAATCTGTTTTAGATAGATTTAGCTGTTTGGACTAAGTCCCAAAGTACAATAGGTATATCTTAAACCGTAAGAAATCGACCAATCATACTTGATCATTTTTCTCATATGTGACTGTGGTGATCAATATCTTAAGGGTTAGCTTACTATTGAGTTTCGAGACTTAAAATACGGGAATTCAATTAAAATTGATCATTGCACAGTGCAATTTCAGATCCATATAAAAGACCAATACAGGATGTTGAATATGACAAATGCTATAGGAAATACTATTCTACTGCGTTTATCAATCCATAGAGCGATCTGTTGAGGTGTCATAGTTGTGAAATTGTGTAACTTAGCTAGAGTTGGCCTGCGTGTAAATGATTTAGCTGGAGGGGGGGTGCTGTCGATGGTTGTGGTGCTACCAACGGAATAATCTGGATCTTTATCCTCTTCTATCTTTACTGATGGGATGTTGAGCGAGCTCGGAAAACTCTGGAAATAACGAAAAATACGATCAATTCTAAGAGTGATTCAAAATAAATACTTGTCCTTGAACGGACACATTCCTGAGCACATTCTGAGACGATCGTTCCTTTGAGTAAAAATTTGTCCAAAACTTAATTTTTAAGTTATAACAAAAAATAATCAACGTATCAGCAGCTAAATACAGGAGAGAAACAGGGACCGCGAATCACATTTCAACAAAATAATTGCACGAATTCTACAAGAATTAATATTCGCGTATTAAATTTTAAGAAAAAGTAGCACTTTTCGATAATTATACAGTTTAGCTCTCTCTCCCTGCCATCTCAAAAATCAATGAAATTATATATGCATTTTCTTC